ACTTTCCAGCATTTCTTCTTTCTCTGTTTTCCCCAGGATGAAGTTGTCATGCCTGACTATCTCCCACAAAGGCAGTTACTTTCCAAGAAATCAAATTAAATAATGGGAAATAACAATGGCATCCTTAAATTGAATGAAGCCGAAGTTTCTAGAAGATTTGTTGTGAGACAGCCAGGCTTCAGTCTGCTTTATGTCACTGTTCATGGAACTGGCGTGAGTCTCTTTAGGAATTTTGTAACCTCATCCTTCCTTGGCCACATGACACCATTGACGAATGAAAAGCTGGCACATCCTAGTGAAAGGAGGGGAAATCATATTCCTCATTATCTGTCCTTTGAAGTTTTTATATAAAGTCTGTTCCCTGTTAAAGGTATTCTATCCTTCTCCTGTATATAAGTATGGGAGGGAAATAGCCACTGATCCTGTTTGGCTGTATCTTGGTAAATGCTATAAAGATATGCAAGACACCTCTGTTTAGCAATTGTTAACACACATTGCATAAGTTCTTAGCTTTGAGGCCTCAGTAAGAAATCTGAAATGACAAAAAGAGTTCATGGGGCATTGTCACAGTCAATAGCAACCTTGGTAGTCAGGGCAGACTGTGTAGTCAGGAATACTCCTTAAATAGAACAGTCACCTTACCCATGTATTGCCTCAATATTCCTGTTGTAATCAGGGATTGCAAGGAGAGCAAGACAGTACTGGACAAATAATTTATAGTATTATTTAAAATGGTCACCCAAGGTGTCAAATACAAAGAAAGTGCAGGAAATCTATCCACACACTAAAGACCTAGAGAATCTAGCTGACGGCCTTAATTCCACAGCAACGTCTTGCATGAGTACAGCTGAAGACCTAGAGCCCATGACAGTGCCCCACTATGTGTCCAACTGAAAGCCTAGAATCCATGATAATGACTCCTGCAAGTCTGTTTCATGGATCTGCACTGGGAAGGACCCAAGGTCAGTAATAGAAGCTAGAAAGTCTGTGCCAGTGGGGTGAACGATGTGTGCCAGTAGATTGAGGGATCTGTACTGGAGCAAGAAGCAATGCTCAAAGTAAAGACCAGGGCTTTCCTGAAAAGTACCACAGCCATCTTCAGTGATTATGAGGTCCTGAGCTCCTCTGACAAAGAGAACAGCTGATTTCATATCAGGAAGCCAGAGTGTCTAATCTCCTGGAGATTAGACAGCATATATCTTCCTCTCCTGAGTCAGGAGGTGATGCTCAAAGAAAGGACCAGAGCTCCCCCAAAGTGAATCACAATCATTCTAAGTGACAAGGGCCCAAGCTCATCTGATGAGAATAGCCAAGTCCTCATCAAAATGGTAGCCATTTTGGATTTACTATTGGCTTATTTTGAAGTCCTTTATTGCATTCATTGTTTTGTTTTTATTGTTTCTATTCTATTCTGCTGTTTGATTTTTACCATGTCCAAAGTTATCTGTAGTTATTTTGAAGACAAGAGGTATTATGATAAGTATCATTTATTTTGTATCACTTATAGTGGTTTCTCTTGATTGATTCTGTTTATCTTCCTTGATTTTATCTTCTTTAAAATAAAATAAAATAAATATTTGTGATATAGGGCAAAACATAATAATTATAGCGATAAGGATATAGCAAATATGCTATGAAAATTTGGAAGAAAGAAATTTTCAGCTCAGAGGATCAGTAAAGATGTCATAGATGTATTTTTAATTAAAGAAGATGGACTAATACTGAATGAGCTCAACTAGGTGTTCTTAATCTATAGGTCAACAACAAGGATCAATAAAGGTTCATTAATAAAATAGCTAATTTTTCTTAATTCTCACAATGTCATAGGCTCTGCATTATTTATATGCACATTGTTTTAGTTTCACAATGCACTTATGAAAAGGTACCATTATTATTTCCATTTAACTGGTGAGAAAAGTGAGCTGTTGACTAAATCATCTTAACCAAGTTCATATAACTAGAAAATGATAGACGTAAAATCTGAAGCCAGGATTTTTCTGACTCTAAGGACCAAGAAGTTACAATCTCTCTCAAAGGCAGAATGCACAAGCTAAGGAGTTTATAAATGAGGGACAGTGTCATGTAATGAAGGCCCTCTGGCCATACATGAATGTTATAGTATTTTAATGTAGTTGATCCCATAATCCTCTCAGGACAATGCTTGCCCCTTTGTCTAGGCCTCTATTACTATGGTTTTCATATTTCAGATATTCTCTCCTCTTTACTCTGTTTAGTCAGATCCCATGCCTCCTTCAGGGCGCATTATAGGATGGGTATTCCTTTTCTGAAATGCTTGGAATCAGAATTATTTCAGACATTGGACATTTTTCAGATTTTAGGATCTGTGTATATATGTGATGAGATATCAGGGATGGCAATCATGTTTAAACTTGAAACTCATTTGTTTTATGTATATCATATACCAACAGCCTGAAGATAATTTCATACTTTTTTGGGGTGTGTTTATGTGTTTTTATGGATAGAACCCAGGGCCTTATATATGTTATGCAAGTGTTCTACTGCTAAACTACATCCCTAGCCCTTATGCAGTATTTTAAATAATTTTGTGCATTTATCCATCAGATTTGTGGTGTTATGACAGCATTGAAAAGTTCTGAATTTGAAGTATTTCTGATTTTGGATTAGGGATATTCAGCTGTATAAAATTAGAGACTGGGAAGTTTGCTCCAGTTCCAATATGTCCATGAGCTTGTGTTTGTCCTGTCTCTGATCACGTTGTATTTGGAATTCAGACCAGTGCATATTGAATGGCATACTTTCTCTCCTATTTCTTATTTATCTTTTAAGATAAACTATAAACCTACTGATTGATAACAGGGCTTGGGACAATTTTTAGGGTAAAGTTCTGTAGGAAAAAATCTGACCTAATTTTAAAACTCATGTCAAGGTCAAGCTACAGAGCTGAGAAACCTCTCGTGAGTTTCTGTGTATCCAAGTGTAAGAAAACAGAGAGGATGCTTGTACTGCTGCAGAGTCATTAAAGATGCCCCCATGAGGGACATTGTTGGGCCTGGTGGGAGCCAAAGCAACAGCAGGGAGAATCCAGGGACTCAGAAGATCAGCCTGCACAGAGGAGTGTGGGAGACAGGCGGGGACGTTGTTTCTGTCGAGTGTGTCTCCCTCTTAGGGAATGAGCCAACGGAGTATGCGGTTTAAGAGCTTCCCTTCTGTTCTCCAGCTTTTGTGACACCCCAGCAAATGCAAAGCATTGTGCAGGCATGAATTTCTTAGCTGAACAGGAAGAACTCAGGAGCAATGACAAATACTTCACAGCCCCTCCCTGGCATCTGAGATGGTTTTCCGAGACAGAACACGAGCTTCTACTTAGTGGATTTTTCAGAGCACGTCTGTGGGAGGAGCTTTCCATAGCAAATGTGTATACTCACCATCCCCACACTGAAAATGCCAAGAGCCTGTGCAATCTGCCACAAAGCAAGGACCATTAAAAGAGAATTAAAGAAGTCTTAGGAAAACCCATGATCACATTCCTTGTCCAGATTACTGAATGCTAAGTATGCGAATTGTGCATGTTATTTTCAAAGCACATAGGAAGATGAATGCAGCAGAAGACTACTTAGAAAGACAACAGATTAGGGTAAAAGAAAGAAAGGATTACATTTCTGAAGAAGTAGCTTTTGGGAATTGCGCATCTGAAAAATATGTTAGTGTCAGGATTTAGAAAAAATGACAAGCCAAGAGATGTCAGTCTTCAAACAGCTGTTAAAAATGGCTTTATTCAGAGTCTACCTACCCCCAAATGAAATCACAGTTGCATATCTTTATAGCTAAGGAGCAATGGTACTTATCTTTTTGGCTGATATATTTAGATTTTGTTCAGCACATGCTTGATGAAGTAATGCTTGCCAGATTAATTCAAGTTGTCAGATAAGAGCTTACTCATGTAGATCTCAAACTGGAAGAAACTGATTAGTGATGAAAGTCAGGGTCTTAAAGTGAGGAATGAAATGTAAGAAATGTAGAGGAAAAGCTGGCCTTTTTGATAAAACTTGCTTGCTTTCAGAGCAAACTCTGTTCCACTATGGCTGAGGAATTGGGGAGGATTTCAGGTGTGAGGTGGCCAGAGAGAGATGATTATTTTGTAAATTCATTTTATATCTTTGGTAACAAGTATGCATATGAAAAACACACAGTCTGCTTGTACATGGGTTAGTTTTAGGTTTGGGACCGTTGTTTGGCTTGTTTTGCACACTGTATAGTGAGTATTTAAGTTGGGATCCTTCCAAGTCCGTCTTGGTGCAGAACTCCCCAAAGGGACTCCAGCATGCTCCGGAGATGGTCTTCCCTTCAGGGCTAAAATGCAGCTCAGGACAACCTAAAGTGGCCAGGCCATCTGCTTAGCCCTGTCTGCACTATTGACCACTTCTCATTTCCTTTTTGATCCTCCTCTTGTTGTTGGTCACCGTTGTTCATTTCCTGAACCTGTTGCTCCAAGCACAGGTGGTCCATTTACGATTTAATGAGATAATTCAACTCAAATGTGTTTATGACATCTAGGGGAGACAAGAGGTATGCAGGAAGAACTGGAACATCTGGGAGAGCTAGAGCACAGTTCCCATGCAAAGAGACACCTGCTGTATTCAGGGCATGTGCAGGACTGAATGGAAACACAGGAGTGGGGCTAACTCCAGCCACGAGAGCACAGAAGGGCCACACAGGCTTTGTGGTAGTGGTGATTCATAGAGTGAGTCCTGAAACAAAATGGGAACAGGACATTCTATTGTTCACTCATCAAATAATACATTTAGCACATATTAAATACTTGCCATTTGACTCATTACTGGGGAAATACCAGCAAACAAGCACAGATGTAGGAGGGACGTGCAAGTAAAGAAACAGAAGGAGCTTTGCATTTTAAAAGGAGTCTGTTCTTTGGCCACCCTGCTTTCTACCATGGGAAAGTGGAGAATCAACTTGCCGTTTACCAGTTGCCATTTCTCCGTCTCTTTGGTCAGCCTTTCAGAGCTTTTCTCTGCCCCACTATTTTTCTTTTCATTTTTGTTCAGTGGCTATACTAATCTTCTCTGTATGATTCTAATCTTAGTATATGTGGTCCCAAAGACGATTGATTTTTTTCCCTTTCTTGTGGTAAAGTAACTGCGCACAGGAGAAATTTACTTGATCTCCTGGAGAAGACAAGAGGAGTGATTCTAGCCTAAAAGGGCATCCTGCTTATTGTAAACCCAACTATGGAGTTCAGCCACCCAAGTATTGTAATCCTCTTTCTAGTTTTCCTCACAACTCAAAAGGTTATATTTGTAATTCCATCGAGATGTCATTGGAATCTCAGCAGGTTAATTCCAATCTACCAACGCCAGTGCAATCCATGGCCAGAATAAAAACAGTTCCAAGTTAAGGGCAGCCAAGGGGTCCTAAGTCCAGTTCCCTTGAGGATATGTGAACAAAGGCTTCGATCGTAGGCCTCTCCCAGCATTTATTATCTTGTGAAGAAAGGGAGGGGGGTGGCTCAGGGATGAGTGATAGTGAGGATGTTGGGGATTACTGTGTAACTTGAGCTGGCTGGCCAGGTGCAGAAGGATCAATTTACGTAACCCATTTAAGTAGCAGTGGTAATGTTTTGGGGGGCTATTGCTTGGTTTCTGATATGCAAACTCTTCTGCCCTGGGGAGTCATATAGCCTTGTATCTTGAGGCTCGTACCCAATTGAAATTTCTGGAGCTATCTGCTCTAACATCTCGTGAGCTCAGTCCTGTATTGTGGAGAACACCATGTGAGGAAACAGGACTGTCTGATGGCTATAGACTTTGCACATTAGCATCTCGGCTAGCCTTATTTGCAATGCTCAGAACCAATTGAAGAGAGAAGGAAATACCCTAGCCAGCCTTTTACATATCAGTATAAGAAAATAAAATATTTTCTGCAAATTAGTATAGCCACTGAACAAAAGTAACCAAAGTCACAGCAATTGTTTTGGATTCAAAGGGAGTCACTGGAGTTGTCTCCCACACTGCTCCGGCTCGCCTCAGCTCGTCTGACTTGGTGTATGGGAACAGTATACCCCCAGCATCACTTTATAGACTTCAGATAGAACGTGCAGTGCTGGACCTTAGCTGAGAGAATGTGTGATGATCATGGTATAGGAACTTGAGTGTCTTCTCTCGCTAGATCAGTGTCACCTCAACTCTCAAGGACCCTGGGCATTTTCTGAGGTCTAGTATAACTCCTATGTTGACACCTGCACACTTTGCTGGTTGACTTTGCAGCCTTAGCAGGCTCTCAGAATTTTCCCTTAGCCATTTCATTTTTATTCGTCCAGTCCTTTCCCTCGGAGGACCTTGGAGTTCTAGATTCCTTCTCCTTTATAGGGAAGCCCAGGGAGACGTGGGAGCACCGTTTCCTTCCTTTTCTGCTGAGCCTCCTTTCCAGTTCTCAGTGTTAAATGGGGCCCACATCCTGTGTGATTTTTGACTTCCCTGTCACCTCAGCTGAGATTTCTGTCTTTTTTGACCCATTTGTCTGGCTGAGGCTCCAGCAATCATCTTTATCAATTTGTTCCTTCCAAACTGCCTCCTCCCTTACACAAGGAGAGTTATCTCTTTCTTCATGAGCAGGAGGACCTCCTTTATGTCATATCCTGAATTCTAAAATTTGTTCTTGGAATATAAGAGGATACTTCTGAAAATTAAAAAAAAACTTTTTATGAAAGCTGGTTTTTTGAGTTATCATGTCATTCTGACCTCAGAAACCTATTTTAGATGGAGAAACCTGAACATTTTCTTCCTTTCATTAGATTTCTGATATATCACTTCTAATCATCCTCTAAATATATGCCTTGGAATTAGTGAAGGAGATTGTCCTTCTAAGGAATATGAAGAACAAAAAGAGTACATTAACATGTTCATAAAATATTTTCTCCCAACTAAGATAAATTACTGAATCTGCTTTCATTGAGTTTATATTTAGTCTAGGGAGATTAACTATATGAGGTGATTCCTCTTATTTATAAAAGCAAGTAAGGTGAGACAAAGATCAGCATGTTAGAGGATGACAGTGTGGAGTTGACATTAGTATTTTCTGTATGCAGATTTTTGTATTATAGTTTGCAAGTTTAGTCTGTGTTTAGTAATCTACAATTATTGTTTCAGAAAGTTACTATTATTATTCCAATTTTTCCAGAAATTCTAATTTCTCACCCCTTGATTTATTCCTGCATTTTAAGGTTTCTATTTGGGATTATTTTCCTTATACATAAAGAATTTCCTTTAGTATTCTTTTTGGAGTAAGCCTAGATGGTGATGAAGTCTTGCTTTTTTGTTTGTTGAATATCTTTTATGTCATCTGCCTGTAGAGGAGGATCTTTACAGCATTCTAGATTGTTAGACATTTTCTCTTAGCTGTTTATTTATTTGTTTATTTGGTATCGAGGATCAAACTCACGACCTCATCCTTGCCAGGCAGGTGCTTATGCCGCTGAGCTAAGTCCCAGGCTTAGCTGTTTAAATATCATTCCATTGTCTTCTGACTTCTGGAATTTCTACTAAGAAGTCAGTGTGAACTAAATTTGACCTGAGGCTGCATCTGCACTCAAGTTCTTACATCACAGCTGCAACCTGACTTATGCATAAACTTACTGAAAATTTGCTTTGGAGACTAGGCTTGCAACAAAGAGCTGCCCGCTGGCCACCGTGGCTGAACTTCAGTCAATGTGAATGACCTCTAATAGATGGCAGCGTGCTGAACTGTGACCTATGGATCTGTCTGTGTAGCTCTCCTGTTTTCATCTAGAAATGCTACCTCATCAACTTGCAGTTTGGAGTTTTTCTGAACCTGCGATAACACTGGGAACAGGTTTCTTGATTAGGGAGTCCTCCACTCAAACTATCAGATTTGTGTAAGGATTTTCCTCTTAACCTGCATTAAAATTCTTAGGGTCCCTATATTTTACATTGTCTTTAGTTTTACAAAATGTTCTCCTTGCCTTTAATATTTAGATGTTTGGTGGCCCAACTGGGTTTTCCTACTTGTTGGCTATTGTGACCATTCTTTCCACACTGGATGATACTGAATTAAGCATGTTCTGTTTTTGTGTAAGAAACCATTTTACTGAATTTTTCCATCTTTGTTGTAATAATATATATGTAATATAAAATTTGCCATCTTATTCATTTTTAACTTTACAATTCTGTGGCATTAAGTGTGTTTACATTGTCGTAATAATGTCATCACCGTCCATCTCCGGAACTTCTCCATTTTTCCCAGTTGAAACCTCATACTCATTAAACAGTAACTGTCCATTCCCTTTTGCTTCTATGGATTTGGCTACTTTACATATCTCATAAAAGTTGTAATATTTATCCTTTTGTCACTAGCTTACTTAGCACCATGTCCTCGGTTTCCAGGTGTATTATTGCAGGAATCAGCATTTCTTTCTTTTCTGAGGCTAACGCGTATTCCACTGTTTGAATACTTTATATTTTTGTTGTTGTTTTTGTTTCTTCTACCTTGGACTATTGTAAATAGCACTGCAATGAAGGTGGGTGTGCAAATATGTCTTTGAGATTCTATTTTCAGGTCTTCTAAACATAGATTGCTAAATCATATAGTAGTTATAGTTTTATTATTTTAGAACCTCTGTATTATTTTTAGCAGTAGCAGCAAAGTTTCATCCTGGCCAATGCTTGTTCTTTTCTGCTCTTTGTAATGATTGTACTTGGTATGAAATTTTATATGCATACATTTTATATACATACATACATATATATGTATAAATTTTTATTATATATGTATATAATAAACATTTTTTTAGGACAGTAGTTCAGGCTGGCCTGAACTCACTATGCCCATGCTGGCCTTGAACTCTCGGTGTTCCTCCTGCCTCAACCTTTCAAGTGCTGGGATTCCAGGTGTGTGTAATCACACCTGATTTGAGATTATATTTTATTAGAGTTAGAATTTATATTTCTATAGTGATTCATTTTTTAAAAAGATCCACTTTTAAATTGAATTATTTGTTTTGTTGTTGAGGTGTAGTTCTTCATATATTCTGGACATGAACTCCTTGTAAAATACATGATTTGCAAATTTTCTTTTTCATTCTGTTGGTTGCTGTTTCATTCTGTTGACTGTTTCATTTGATATACAGACATTTTAAAATTTAGGGTAGTCTCATTGTATGTGTGTTTCTACACCCACAGCCTTCATACCGAGCTGCATCCCAGCCATTTTATTTTACTTTGAGACAGAGTCTCCCTAAATTGCTAAATTGCCCAGACTGTACTAGAACTTGTAATCCCTCTGGGTCGACCTTTCGCAGTGCTGGGATTATAGGCATGTACCCACACACTTGGCTCCATTTTGTCTATTTTTGTTGACTTTGCTTCTCTAGTCTTTTTGAAGCCTTGATAGATAGCTTTTCATTCATCTGCAGTGATGTGACCAAAAACTCCAAACGTCCCTTCCTGAGCGGAAGGCACTTTGCAGAGTCTGGCCAGGGGAATCCTCTTCACTTTCACTTGACTAAGATCCTACTGAACTAACCATTGTCAACTAACCATACTCAACCATAATCATGAGATGACAGCAACCATCTTCTGATTTGAAGGTGTAGAGTTTGGAGCAATTTGAAAGAGTATTTTTTTTTTCAGAATAGGAAAGTTTTGGAAACGTATCTAATCTTCCACTGAGATTAATTGTTAGGGACTGAGCTGTATACAGGTTAAGACCATGACCTAAGCCCTCAGTCTGAGGCCCGTGTTGTCTTGCTCAAGACAAGCTTTCTGTGGAAAGCTATGTGTTTTGTGTCTGTGTGTGGGAAAACACATAAGCACAGCACTCTCAGGCAGGACAATACCGACTAAGGACAATGGAAAGAAAGCTCAGTCCCTGTTGACTAGTACAGACATCCAGGTGTAGAGAGGGACGTTCACTTTCTAAGCTTTACCACTTTGAAGTACACCTGTTCTTTACTTTTCAAAATCACCTTTAGCCATTCCATGAATGATGCATGACCCCACTCCCCTGGGCTTTTTGCTGGCTAATAAAAGTGAATTGACTGTGGAGGTTGTTGAGCATGTTTGCTAAAAGTAGGTCTCCTCTTGGCTCCCTA